GAATCCTAACTTAGGACAGGGACTGTTATGTGTTTAAATCAGTTTAAACAAGAAACATGCAAGAAAAATTACATGCAGGCTCCATTTTAAGGGCCCCTCCTATTCAATATCCACATGCTTCCTTTAGCTCAGATTATAGCAGACATCAGTTACAATAATTGTGCAGACGACACACAGCTTTACATCACAATATTCCAGGTGACTATAAACCCATCAGGGCATTGTGTAGATGCTTAGAATAAATCTATATTTGGATGCACCATAACTTTCTTCAACTGAATAAAAACAAATCTTAGGTAATAATCTTCAGACCAAAGGAAGACAGCTTCAGGGACTACAGCTGGAAACTACTGATTATGGCCGAAATCTTGGTGTCATGAGGGACTCAGACCTGAGCATTCAGAGGCAGATAAAGACAGTGTTACGGCCCTGGGCCTTGTGGGTTGTTGTGCAGGTGTCTTGGTGTCCGTTTTCATGCTCCTCCCCTTTGCAGGTGACTCGGATCTGGTGATTGGGCGTGCAGAGTATTTTAACCTGGCTGTCCCCGTCTTCAGTGTCGCTGGCTTCCCGCAGCGCCCACTCTGCAGCTGGAGATGTTTGGTGGCCAGGCCTCAGCTTCCCTTCTATTGCACCTTTGATACTGATTTCCACAATCCATGGATGGTTTTTGTGAATAAAGACTTGTTTATGCGCGCTTTAACCACGGCATGGTTTCACGTTTTTGTTACGACCATGAGCCAGTCGTAACAACAGTTACTAAATCAGCCTTTTATCACCTGAAGAACATTTTATTTTTGTCTATTTTATTGTTTAATTAATGTAAAGCAGTTTGAATTGTCCTTGAACTGAATTTTACTGTACAAATACATTTGCCTTAGCTAAAGGGGATAAGACTGAATGTAGTATTGAAGTTACCTGTGAACTAGTCTTGTTTAAAATTAACTAATTAAAAAAGCTTTGATTTACTTTTATGTTTTTGCACTTAGTTGAGTTTGTTTTTCAACCATTTAACTAAGGGAGGTAGGATTAAAGGAACTGGATTAGGCTAAGAAACTTTCTGAATAGCCTGCCTAAAATCAAGAGTATTCTTTTAAAATCTTGATTCACCCAAAGAAAACTCACAAGTTAAAATTAATGCTACATTCCCCCCCCCCCCCCCCCATTCCCTGCAACATTAATGGTTGAGAGTAAATAGTTTGAAATAAATAGGACAGTTTACTAAATAAGAACATGGGCATACCTGGGTGGAAAAATGGCTTCCAGGACCTGCTTGGTTTCCGTATTGTCTTCACTCGTTGCAGGTTTTGACTTAGAAGGTGGAGTAGCTGGTTTGAAGTCTGATGGCTGCTGAGGGATTGTTGTCCAGAGAATACCAGATAACAGAAAAGTTATGTGAAAATGTACCAGTTGAATCTAAACATGCACCTAAGAGCACTTTAGATTTAAATTTTTTGCAGTGTAAGGTTTCCAAAAGGTGGTGGTTTAAAGTCCTGAATCCAAGCAAATGAAAACGTTGGTGGAAGGAAAGTGTGGCATGTAAAATATAAACAAGTAGCTACAGTCTGGATATCCTCTCAAACCTCTCATCAAAGACTGAATCCAGAATAAGAGCTAAAAAAATTTTCTTTTCCCCGTTGGGTGAAGACACTCCTTAAGCAATCAACTTAGAAACTATTTGTTCTTCCTTGAAAAAATTACTATTTTATTTAGCTGTAATCCATAATCGTTTAAATTAATTAAGTATACTTGAAAGCCTAATTGAATTATTATTATTTATTTATATTTTTTTAACCACATAGGCCTACATTTTTCAGTTATATTGGAATTTATTTTAACGCACATATCTACTATGTTGTGGTGGTCCTGCCGCATAAATCTTGGTCCGATTTATGTACAAACCTACCATTTCAATGTGACTGCAGCAAACTCACCTTTGGAGATTCAGTCTCTGAATTCTTGATCAACATCGGATTGTTGTATTTCAAAAAAGAATCAGATGCAGGAATCATTTTTCACTTCCTTTTTTAACACAAAGGAAAAATAAAATAAGTTCTGCCCGCAGACACCGAAACTTATTCGCTCGTTGAAGTTTGTTGTAACTGTCGTCATGGTAACGGTGTCCAGACGTTCCTAACGTCTTTTAAATGGCATGGCTGAAAGAAGCGCTTAAGCTGTACTTAAATTATCAAAATAAGAACCCAATATATGATCTTTTTTGATGAAGGGTTAGTTTTTCAAAACACACAAAAAACGGTATGTCAGCTAGTTCGGCAAATCGTGATTGGAAATCTGGAAAAAAATATTACATTGAATTTATTTTAATTGAAATTTTGACTCAGTAGCCACCTAACGTTCGCTTATGACACCCTTTAATATTTTTACAGCTAATCAGGACTATACATTATACTTATTAAGAAGTAAAACAACAGCACTTTAGATGCCATATGGCCAATTTGAAGGTGCAACGTCAAAAGTAGCGGAACTTTTAAAGAAGGCAAAGATTCCGCCGAGATCCATTTTCTGTGTACCACAGGAACAATTAAAATGCAGTTAAGGGTGATAATGTTCCTCTGATTTGTCAAACTTTAAGCTATTATAGTGTTAAAAGAAATATCGGGGAATTTTCAACCTGCTGCGGAGAACATTTTCATCAGAGACACACTGAAAAACGTTCGACTAGTATGTCTCAATAAAGGTGTCAAACCGTATTTATTGAAATAATCTGCGAAATAAAATCCACCGTTTTAGGGCTTACATGGTTAAGAAACGTGATAATGTAAAGAATATCTTTAAAAGTTTCCTCTTCTTCAGTCAGTTTTCTCGAGAGTTTTGCGAGAGTTTAGAGTGATGCGCGCTCCCGCGAGAAGGGACGCAATTCTCGGCAGGCATGAATTTCTCGGTATAACACCGGAACAAAACAAAGCATTCGATTGGTCAGAAAAATCATGGAATGAACCATTTACAATGGAGACGGGGGGAGCTCTACCCCAAGGATTATGCTCCAGTCCACAACATTGGGCATATTATTCACATGTTTATATTAATTTGTTGTAATATTGATATGAATAAACAAATTAATATCGATCCTAAATCAAACTCGTACTCTTTAAGCCAAATTATTTTGATAGACACCTACCTCGGCTCCTCTTTATTTCCAAGCATGTAACTGAACTGGAGCCCAACAAGCTTGTCAAAATTCAACGAAATAAACGTGATTTTTTTATGTTTTTATTCTGAAAATTACGGAAGTACGGAAGAGGATTAGGGCCACTGGAACTGATTTTTAAATTTTATTTTAGTTTAACATGGGAAAAATACGGAAGAGGATTAGGGCCACTGGAAAAAAAAAAAAGTTAACTGATTTTTTTTATTTTATTTCAGTATAGTATGGGAAAAAAGTCAGAATTCTGACTTTAATGTCAGAATTCTGACTTTTTTCTCAGAATTCTGACTTTATTCTCAGAATTCTGACTTTTTTCTCAGAATTCTGACTTTTTTCTCAGAATTCTGACTTTAATCTCAGAATTCTGACTTTTTTTCTCAGAATTCTGACTTTAATCTCAGAATTCTGACTTTTTTTCTCAGAATTCTGACTTTTTTCTCAGAATTCTGACTGAATTCTGATAATAAAAAAAAGTCAGAATTCTGAGATTAAAGTCAGAATTCTGAGAAAAAAGTCAGAATTCTGAGATTAAAGTCAGAATTCTGAGAAAAAAGTCAGAATTCTGAGAAAAAAGTCAGAATTCTGACTTTAATCTCAGAATTCTGAGAAAAAAGTCAGAATTCTGACTTTAATCTCAGAATTATGAGAAAAAAGTCAGAATTCTGAGATTAAAGTCAGAATTCTGAGAAAAAAGTAAGAATTCTGACTTTAATCTCAGAATTCTGACTTTTTTCTCAGAATTCTGACTTTAATCTCAGAATTCTGACTTTTTTCTCAGAATTCTGACTTTAATCTCAGAATTTTCTGACTTTTTTTCTCAGAATTCTGACTTTTTTCTCAGAATTCTGACTTTTTTCTCAGAATTCTGACTTTTTTCCCATACTATACTGAAATAAAATTAAAAAAATCAGATAACTTTTTTTTTTTTTTCCAGTGGCCCTAATCCTCTTCCATACGGAAGAGGAGTAGGGACACTGAAAAAAAGTAAAAAAGTTAACCAATTTTTTTTTTTATTTTATTTAAGTATAATATGAGAAAGAATTCTGACTTCTTTCACAGAATTCTGACTAATCTCAAAATTCTGACTTTAATCTCAAAATTCTGACTTTAATCTAGCTGTCCGACTGTTTTCGGACAGCTAACAATCATGTTAGCATCAAGCCGTAGCCATGGCTGTTTTAGAGACTAGCTCTCTTGTTTTAATCACCTTCTGCTCTTCGCTTAATTTCATCAGTGGCCCTAATCCTCTTCCTTAAAAAATCAACTAGATTAATAAAAATAGTACTCCTTTAACTCTTACTGCATTGAATGACAAATTCGAATATATATGTTTTTTTCATTCTTTTCAATTTACTTTACATAGTAATGCTTATGGCTGTCAGCAAAATAAAGGTTATGAGATCAATTTAGAAACTGCAATTCAGCAGAGCTTGGTACATTTCAGACAAACCATTCTAAGGAAGCAGCATTAAATGTCTAAACTATATGTGAAATATATATTTCATTCAGTCATATTGTTGTGGTTGTACTTTGCGTCTGCTGTTTCTTGTTCACATGAATAACGTCAGAAAAGTTTTTCTTCTATGAAAAGCATGGATATATAGGTGGGATGAGGAGGTAACATTTCACTATGCACTAACACCGCCATATTTCAGTTTATAAAATACAGAAAAAAGAAAACAAACCTTGTTTTTTCATTAACATTTTTATTGAAACAGCATGGGCACAAACAATTTTACACGTTATTCAAATTTAAACAAACATTTGAAAGGTTATTGTCCGTGTTTCTGTGGTTGTTTACATGTCTCCTGTGTGTGTTGTTTCCCCCCCCCCCCCCCCCCCCAAAGCCTTTCACTCTTTTTTTTGGAAAAAAATGTAGCCTTTACATTTTGAACATTGAAAAAGCTCAGGATTAACAAAACACAGATCACCAGAGTATTTGGGAAGTTTCTCAATGCTGACATACACTGCAGAGAGAAAGCAAACATGAAAAGAAAGGAAGGTTAGCCCGTATTACAGAACTGACATAATATCATCTTACTTTGAAAGTTCTACAGAATGCTAATAAACATGTTATTGTGTTGCCCTACTTCTCCATTCCAGTTAAGCGCCAAGACCTATTGAAGCCTTGGAGGCTCATTTGGTTGATTGGATTAATCCATTTAATAAATGTAAAGATTTGTTATTAAACAAACAGTAAGACATGTTAGAGAGCTCACCTGGAATAGTACAACTACCTGGGCTTCTCAAACGGTCCCACAGGACAGTTTCACTCTCTGATGAGTCTGATGCTTCATATTTCCTAACAAATCAGCAGGATTCGGTTTAGCCACATCTCATTATAGATCAAGATGATCTAAGTGCGAAGAAAACTTACAAGCTCCCTATCTCTTGCTCCTCACTGTGTTCGACTTCTGACAGACTTGAAGATTGTTGTACATCCTGCAAAGCATGAGGAAATCCTGGTCTCTCTAGCTGTGCATCTGTTTCTTCGTCTTTGTGTTCCCAAATGAATCTGCCAACCACTTTTCTCACCTCTGTAATGGTAAGAAAATCCAGCTGAGTAATACATACAGTGTAGATAAATAGTTTCAGATTCTTAAATATTTATTTTTCTTATTTGGATATATATATTTTTTTTACCTTTAAACTTAATTCAAACGCAAAGTCTAAAAAACAAGGAAAAAACTGTCCCTCACCATCCTGTACACAAGCTGGAGGCAGCACGTAATGACCAATTCCCAATGATTTCACACTTTGCCGCTTTTCACAGGTGGACAGAAATAAGCTGTGTATAACAGTCACCTTGTTCCAGATGTAATCTTTGCTTTCAAATATCCTAAAAAAAAAAATCAGCTTTAACACAACCGTGGAAGTCTAAAAATGGGTCACCGGGGGATCATTCTGTAGCTGTCTTCTTACCCACCTTAGTGTATCAGGACATGTTGCATCTGTACTGAAGAGGTAATCTGCTTCTCTCCAACCTGTAATGCTCCCACATTCCTGCCCTGCAAGAAATAGGATTTTAAAGAAAGCATCATGTACTGCTACTAACAGAAAATCAGCTGCCGATAGATCAGAAAAGCTATTTCTTCTTAAGACTTTGTTGATTCTTTCCCTATTGCAATATGAAAATTTCTCCAAAATACACTTTTTGCATTCATAATAATTATCTCCTTTGTAAGCTTTCCTTTATATTCAACCAAATTCTGATAAACTGGATTATTTTTAAGTGATTAAAATGTTTTATTTCTTAATTATATTGCTTAACAAAATCCCAAGTCCATTATAATACCATTTTTTATCGATTTATCTTACCAATATCTAACGGTAAGGATCATTACATACCTAGTCATGTCTATTTTTTAAATATTCTTTAGACTCAGATATCTATATTAACTCCAATCTGCCTTTTTAAAGTGTCATTTCTTACCTGCTTGTATTCTACCATAATTCAGTGTTAATTTTGTTATGATTTTAATGGGATATGGATCACTACCAACTGTTGTGCCTTCATCCCATTCACAGAAACTAGCCACTGATTTTGATAGAAATGTTAAGTCAATTGCCAATTCTGCTGCTGTTCTTAAATTAATCCCTGTTTTGCTTTGTTTATTTCGGCTCCTCTAACTTTCCTTTTGATGTTCTCTGATTTATCTTCAGCTTGATCTGTGCAGATAATGACAAGAAAAGCTGTTACTTCTCTGGGAGGTGTCATGAAGTTTTATCCGATGGACAGAGTCAATACGATGGGTTTACAGGGCAACTATATCAGGCGTGCTTTGGTGGCACGGTGGTTAGTGCCCATGTGTGGATGCCTTAGGCCTCGACACAATAGGGTTCAAATCCGGCTTGTGGTCCTTTGCTGCATGTCTCTCCCCCTCTCTCATACCCCCTTTCCTGTCAGCCTACTGTCTATAAAAATGAGCAACTAGTGCAGTACAAAAAAATGAAAAAAAAAAACAGGTGCCAACTATATCAATAAATGAAGCAGAATGTCTTGTTTTCAGAGTCCCATTGTGCTGTACAGCCACAATACTCTGTAATGCCCTTGCTACATATGTTCTTAATAACATGGCAAAACACCACCACAACCGAGACCTTTCCAAATGTTCAAGAGGTTTAGTTAAACTGTTTTAATCGTATTTTAATCTGAGACTCAATATTGGTTGATCTGCAGTCAGGACTGTTTTGGATGGTATCCACGACAACAGCAGTCATATATCTGAGGTTTTTCAGCACTCAGACCAATACGTGGGACTTGACACAAAAGTTGGCTATTACTCTGAGTGGCTTATTAAATGTTAAAACGTGTCTGTAAGGTGCTTGGCATGAGCCTTTAACACCTGTCCTGCCTGAATGTCCAGGAATGCTTAATCTTCCGGGTTTCCAGCAAGTGTTGACAGACAAATCCTACTTCAGCCTGTGAAACTTGAAAGAATGTCCATCCATTCAGAGCTTGGTGTTTTAACAGGACAGGCGTGTAGGTTCTTTGACTTATAGTTTTTGTCATGTTGTCTTCCCTTAGTTACACAAATCAATCAAGAGAAAAGACATTCAAATAGAGGTTTGGTATCCTTTAAGGCTTTTGGCTTTAAAAATCCCCTTAATATGCAATAAGCACATTATATTCACATATTTTTAAGCTGTGCTTAATTGTCTTTAAAACACCATATAAGGAGAATTTGTTTATTTATCTTATCTTCAGATATTTGTTAAAATGCTAATTTCTTGTTTTGAATGTACATATTTTAGAGAGCAAACTATAAATAAAACAAAGAAGAGCAAAACGCCATGAAAGTAATGAAAAAAAAAAACATTTTCCGTAGGTATAATCAGAAAAAAGTATACATTTTGACGTTTAGATTATTTTTTTTTTCAAATAGGTTAAAAGGCAATTTTTCAAAATAATCTTAATTTAAATTTTTATAAGAAAGCATCACTCCTTTTAAAACTAAAACAACAAGGGTTAATACATTGAAATACAAATTGCTTGTTAATGTATAATTTCATCCAAAAAAAAAGAGTTTATGTGACATGAGGAGAGTTAGCTTAGCCTACTCCAGAAGTCAAGATGATGCTGCGGCACACTGCTCGAAAACCAAGCTGTCTTAAAGCAGAACATCGCTTCTTCTCGTTGAAAAGTCGATTCTAAGAAATGTCTCACTTTAATTTCTAAGTTGTAATCAATTTTTATTGTCTACTCTTATTCCTTAATCTCTAAATTTGGCTAATGCTAACGTACAACAGCTCCAACAGTGAGCTAGCATCATAGCTTCGGCTACGTGTGGCGTTCAGGTGGCGCTGAAAGATGTCGGAAATATCATTAGTGTTTCGCCCCATCATCAGTTTGAGGCTGTCTTATAAAATGTATCATATTTGAAGTTAAATGATGTGATTATTTAAAAAGCTTTGTTGACAAAAATACCTTTGGTGATCTTAATTTGTGGTTAAAAACACTTTAAACAAACACTTTTTTTGTTTAGACAGTAAAAATATTGTGTTTAAGAACTCTTTCATTGACTTAAGGAGATAATTCAAGTTACAATGGTTCATTTTATTTCTAGACTGTACCACAGACTAACAGCTTGTGTTTTCCTTACACTTCACTAGAATACAACGACCAAAGTATATACAAGTATATATAACTTAAAGGTCTAATATAGATTTGTTTATATATTTGACATCAAATGTAGACATATATTAACAAAATGATAAATATGTAAAAGAAAGAAAAAAACTACTTGCACAATGTGTCCAAAACGAGCCCAAGTGCAGACAGATTTGCAGGAGAAGGGTAAAATAGCCACAATAATAGAAGAAAGATAAAAGGGAAAGAAGTATCACAAAAATAAACAAAGCACATAGAAATAAATTAAATGAATATATCCCAAAGAATTTGCATATTGCCCAACTGAAGCCACAGACCAACACCATATAGTTGTTTTTTGTTTGCTTTTTGTTTTGGTTTTTTTAAGACTAGTAGGAGGCCTCTTACATGCCTATGACCTGAGGGCTGCTCTGCTGTTTCATAACCCGTCCTTTGTCCTAGTTGATAGAGGAAGGTAGATTAGTTGTATCCTTTTGTAAAATTTCCCAGAACCCCAGAGCTTTTATGATAACACTTAAGGAGTCCTAACGCCATGGGCAACAAAACATCACAATGTGTTCTTTGTTTCTTCTTGCATTATCCATGACTGTTTAAAGTACTTAGGAATACCTCAGCAAATGTGTGGGCAAAATTTAAGGAAGTAATACAGAATTTTAATCATATGAGCTTTATCACCCCTAAATAAGAAATATCTCTTTCATAAAGGTATTGAAAAACATTTGTGCCCTTTTATCCTGATTACTTATTGGAATGTTTATCTTATTATTACAATATTTTAGACATTACAAATTGAATTAATCAAAGTTTCTGAGGGTACTGAAGAGTTCATTGTAGTTTTTTTTTTTTTTTAAATGGTTGCAATATGGTTTCCAGTCTTAATCTAAATTCTTCCTCTTTCACTCCACATTTGTCTAAACTGGGTGACAATAGCAATTTTTAGCACCAGAGGGCAGTGTTTGCTATATATGTCAGAGATAAGCAAGCTTAGAATAAGGCTTTGAAAAATATAACTTCAGTGAGTTTTTTTTCTTTTCTTCATATTAATACAATCTGATTATTAAAATTATAAAGACGGTTAACTTTAGATCCTCACAGTGTTGCATTACCTGAATATATATATATATATATATATATATATATATATATATATATATATATATATATATATATATATATATATATATATATATATATATATATATATATATATATATATATATATATATAAAAACTTTACGCTACTCTATTGTAGCTTGAGGAGCTGAGCACTGGTAGGAGAACAGTCACGAGGGCAACTGAGGAAACTACAACAATAGTTTGTGTGAGTAAAACAAAACAAAGCTAGGAAATCTAAATATTATTTTTATAGTAAAATATATGGAGTAGTATGAAATAGGCCACATTTAAAGGTTAGCAAAAAAGGAAAAAGAGACCATTGGGGTCCGGAAAGAAAAATATAATTAGTACAGTTTATTTCATCATCATTTACATGATTTATGGTGGTACATAAATAATGTAAACTGATTTCAGGGATTAGAAAGTCATATGCAATCATCAGCACCGCTGCTGTTCGGTCAAGGGTCTTCCTTTGTGGGATTGCCTGAAGGTTAGAATGAAAGATACTAAAGTCTAAACATATCATATGCCTTTGTATAAAAAAAAAAGTGAAAATATTGAAAATGTTGATGGGATTGTCTAAAACCAAGACGAACAGAAGGGCACAAACAAAAAGATAAAGAAAATCTGTAAATCCCTGCATTACCCTTTGCAAATGTTTTGCATTATGCCAGTAACACATTGGTGGAGATGTTCAACACCATGCTTGGTGATAACTCTGCTACCATGACAACAGTGGAGCCGCATCCAAATTCTGATGCCTCACCTTCCAATGGTGTTGTTTGAGAGCAGAGGAGAGACAGGCTGGTGGTGCTGGCATGGAGCTTTAATCTGGGTCACAGTTGCTTCTAACAGTGAGCAAATCATTTATTGCTCTGGTATGATAATGTTAACCACCTTCTGTATCTATTATTTGGTTTTACCAGAAATATTCATCATACAAAGGTCATTTCTGTTTATTTAAGTGTTGTACAACCAACAAAAGTTATACATACATATATGAATTAGTTTATAACGTAAATCAATTAGTTTCTTGGAATGAGATGTTCTTTTTCATAATATTCACTCGGTGTCTCGCTATGGGATGCAGCCTCCTGCAGCCCTGATAGAAGCATCTATCTCAATCTGCCAATCCTGATTGGCCGGTGGAAGTGCCCGTCATACGCCACGCCCCGTAGCTCCGACTACTAAAGCGTGTGCGGATCACGGCACTCCAATTCAAAACCTCTTCTCACCTGAGAGCTTATCTCACGTCGGAGCCTTCGCTAGCTTAACTGCCCACAGACGGACCTTGCTAGTTTCCGTCGCCGGACGCTAGCACTGTGCTCTGGCTTCTGCCCTGTCCGCTCACTCCAGACCGGGCCGGTAACCTTTTGTCTCTCTTCACGGCGGAATCCCTCTCGGCTCCTCTCCACGGACGCTCGAGTCGGACGAGCATTTAGCACACCAGCTACTTCCTCGACCCCGCCACGCTAGCACGCCAGCTAGCTACGGTTCCTTTCCCTACCAGCACTCCAGCTCGTCGGGAAATGGCGGCCGTCCAAAACCCCCACGCCAGGGGAGACTACCGTCTTTGTGGCTGCGGGAATAAAATTTCAGGGAAAGACACCCACCCGGTGTGCAGTACCTGTCTAGGAGTCGACCACGCCAGGTTGGCCCTAGAAATTCCCGGCTCCTGTGGACACTGCAAAGTGTTCACGGTCAAGAGCCTCAGACGCAGGCTAGCCCGCCAGGTTAGCATCTCGGACCGTGATCCATTCCTCCCCAACGCCGCACAAGGTGCAGCCGCGGAGGAGGACGTGGACACAGCTGGGGAAGCCCCGGAGACTGACTACGACTGGGGTGCCCAGTGCGAGCAGCTCCATGCCCCCCCGTTTCCCGAGGAAGACGTGCTGGAAGTCAGTCCCATGGAGGAGGATGACGACACCTCGTTCCTCATATCAGAGGACGAGGAAGAGGATGACACCTTCATGGCCCCAGCACAGCCTGAGAGGCCTAAACCGCCGTGCCCTTCCGCCATGGAAGACAGGGGAGCGAGCTCACCAGCTACCTCCCTCCATGTGGACCTGCTCGACGTGTGCAAACGCGCGGCAGAGAAGCTGGAGATTCCCTGGCCGGTCGCAATAGCGGAGCCCACCCGGTCCCGCTACGAAGGCAAACGGCTTCCCCTGGCACGAAATGCGGTGAAGCAGCTTCTCCCTGTCTTCCCCGAGTTGCTGACGGAGCTCTCCAAAACATGGACTAGCTGCCCATACAGCAACAGGAGCCCTATTTCGGGCGCAGCATCCCTCGACTGCGAGGCGATGGACGCCCACGGCCTCCTCTCCATGCCTCCGGTGGAAGTCCCGGTAGCTGCGCACCTCTGCCCAGGCAGCGTGAGCCAGCTGTCTGCAGCTTCCCCCAGACGCCCGACGCTGCCAGCTAAGCCCGAACGGTTCCAGTCTGCGCTGACCGAAAAGGCATACAAAGCAGCAGCCCTCTCGGCCAGAGCCCTCAGCGCCCTCTCCATCCTCACTGCCTACCAAGCGGAGTTGTTTGGCGCATCTGCTGAGGAGCAAGACCCGGATGCGTGGGAGGAGATGGCGGTCATCGCGGACCTGTCTCTCCGTATCCAACGTGTCGCGGTCCAGGCCACAGGGAAGGTGATGGCAACCCTCGTCGACCAGGAGCGAGCGCGATGGCGCAGTCTCACTAACCTGACCGACAGGGAGCGGGATGACATCCTGGATATGCCGATCGTCCCTGAAGGCATCTTCGGCTCTGCATTGGCCACAATGCAGCAAAGATGTGAGGCAAAGAAAAAGGACAACGAGGCTCTCAAACTTTGTCTCCCTCGGAAAGCCCCTGCGCCTTCACCTCCGGTGCAACGCAAAACCTTTGCGCATGCAGCCTCCCAGCCGCCGCGTTTTAAGGTACCAAGACGGCCACCACCGCCAGGTCCGCCCCCTCCGATGAGGAAGGAGCGCGGAGCCGGCTGGCAGGGGAAACCTGCCTCCACGACCGCTACGCCGCCGCCGCCCACAGCCGCCGCGAGCTCGGTCCCACAGGCGAGGAAGAAAAAGAGGGCGGCCTGACAGCCGCCAGTTCCTCAGTTGGTGCAGCCTGCTGTTCCCCGTTGCGCAGGCCCACCGTTTTGGCTTGTTTGTGCGCACCCCACGCCACCGTTGCCCATCCCAGAGCCGGTCTGCGAGGAGAAGGACATCGCCCCGGAGGTCTGCGCGGTTGCGCCCCGAGCGGAATGTCCAAAAGCACAGTCACACACCCTTGTTCAAAGAAAAAATGGTGTCAAAATAAAAATAAATCTGTCACAGCCAGGCCACGAGCCGAGGGTGCAGATAATAAAAAAAGCCAAAACAGACGATGCTCTCTCTATAAGCAGGGTGGCCGCTCAGCCCCCTGCAGCTCTGCTCCCGGGACGGGCACCGCCGTCCCCGCGGAGCAGAGCAGAGCGCTCCACCGTGCCTCCGGTGGTGCCCAAGAATCATTTCTCGGTTCCACCACAGGGGGGCGCGGGGTAGGAGCCGCAATATGTTCCCCCGCTCTCTCTCAGATGGGAAAGCTGGAGAGCAGCAGCAGCTCCACCGTGGGTGTTGCGCACAATTTCCCGGGGATACAGGCTTCAATTCGCCACTGTCCCTCCCCGCTTCTCCGGTGTAATACACTCACATGCACAGGGAGAATCAGCTCGAGTTTTACGGGAGGAAATTCTCTCTCTGATAGACAAACGAGCAGTTTCTGTCGTATCTCCCGAACAGAGTCTGTCAGGGTTTTATTCCAGATACTTCCTCGTCCCCAAACGGGGGGGGAGAGGAATCCGCCCTATTCTGGACTTAAGAGCCCTGAACAAATTCCTGCGGAAATACAAGTTCAGGATGCTGACACATGCAGCTCTGTTGCGTCTAGTAAGACCGAACGACTGGTTTTCGTCCGTGGATCTGAAAGACGCGTATTTCCACATTCCCATTTATCCCCCTCACAGACAATATCTCCGGTTTGCCTTTCAAGGGGTGTGTTACGAATACCGTGTTCTACCATTCGGTGTGTCTCTCAGTCCGAGGGTTTTCATACGGTGCACAGAGGCCGCGGTAGCCCCGCTCAGACGCCGGGGGATACGTCTGGCCACGTATTTAGACGACTGGCTCCTGTTAGCGCAGTCAGAACAGGAAGCCAGGGTTCACACACACATTGTCACAAAACACCTGATGGATTTAGGTTTTGTGATAAATATGGAAAAAAGCCACCTATCTCCAACGCAGGAGATATGCTTTCTGGGATTATCCCTGCGCTCTGTTCCGTTCACAGCCCGCCTGTCAGAGGAAAGAGTGACGGTTTTCAGAAAGTGCCTGTCACAATTCCGTCTGCACAGGTCTGTCCAGTTCAGACTGTGCCTTCGGTTGCTGGGTCTGATGGCCTCAGCCATCCTCGTGATTCGCCTCGGCCGCCTTCACATGCGGGACTTTCAGCGCTGGGTCGCTTCGCTCCGAATGGACCCCGTGCGTCATGGCGCACGGCGGATAACGGTCACAGCGGACTGTATAACAGCTCTGCGCTGTTGGCGAGCCCCGTCCTTCCTGACCCAAGGGGTGCCTATGGGCACCGTCTCGTCCAGGAAAGTGGTAACCACGGATGCCAGCCTATCAGGCTGGGGCGGCATTCACGAGGGCAGGTCTGTGAGGGGTCGCTGGAGCCAGGCCCTCCAGCGCCTTCACATAAACTTTCTCGAACTTTCGGCGGTGTTTCTTTCTCTGAGACACTTCCTCCCATTCCTCTCGGGTCACCATGTCCTGGTGAGGACGGACAACACGACAACAGTGGCGTATATCAACCGCCAAGGGGGCCTGCGCTCCCGCATGTTGCACAATCTGGCGCGCGACCTGATTCTCTGGAGCAGTACCCACTTTCTCTCCCTGAGAGCGACGCACGTCCCGGGAGACTTGAACACGGGCGCGGACCTGCTGTCCAGAGGCGCGCCAGTGTACGGGGAATGGACGCTGCACCCACAGGTCGTGGAGCAGATATGGGCGCGCTACGGGCGCGCTCAGATAGATCTGTTCGCGTCCAGGGAAAACGCTCGATGCGAGCTGTTCTTCTCTCTGAGCACTCTGAAAGCCCCTCTGGGCGTAGACGCATTAGCGCACGCCTGGCCGCACGAGCTGCTATACGCGTTTCCACCGCTGGCCCTGATACCCCCCACTCTCGCCAGAGTGAGGGCATTCAACCACAGACTGATCCTAATAGCTCCGCACTGGCCAGCGCAACACTGGCTGGCGGAGATATTCCAGATGCTGTGCGCCCAGCCTTGGGAGCTGCCGCTGCGCAGGGACCTGCTCTCGCAGGGTGCGGGGACAGTGTACCACCCACACCCGGAGCGACTGCAGCTGTGGGCCTGGCCCATGAGTGGCTTAATTTAACCACTGCCGGGCTCCCTCAGAGTGTAATTAATACTATCCAAAACGCCAGGGCTCCCTCCACTAGGAACCTATATGGCTCCAAGTGGGGACTGTTTGAGCGGTGGTGTCTTGAACGGGACTACGTTCCTTTTCAGTGTTCTGTACCAGCGATTCTGTCGTTTTTACAGGAACTGATTGATAAAGGAAAAGCTTTTTCCACGGTTAAGGTTTATCTGGCAGCTATAGCAGCATGCCATATAGGATTTGGAGACAAAACGGCGAGCCAACACCCTTTGGTTTGTCGGTTTATGAAGGGCGCCCGCAGGCTCCTCCCCGTCTCCAGACCTTTGCTGCCTCCGTGGGATTTGTCGGTGGTTCTGGAGGGGCTTAAGGGACCCCCATTTGAACCGTTGTTGGGGTCCAGTCTTAAACATCTGTCTCTCAAGACAGTGCTGTTACTGGCCCTGGCCTCTGCGAAACGAGTCAGCGACATTCATGCGCTATCTGTGAGCCCCGCATGTACCCGGTTCGACCCGGAATACACGCGTATGGTTCTGAAGCCCAACCCGGCCTTTGTTCCTAAAGTGGTTGGTTCTTGTTCACCGATCGAGCTAGCGGCGTTCGCCGCCCCCCCAGGTGAACGGCGAGCGCACACGCTGTGCCCTGTTCGAGCCGTGCGCTCTTATATGGACAGGACGCAGAGCTTCAGGATGAGTGATCAGCTCTTTGTCTCCTGGGCGGAGCCCCGTAAGGGGCAGCCGATCACAAAGCAACGCCTCGCCCACTGGGTGGTGGAGGCTATAGCTTTGGCGTATGGAAGCAGGGGTCTGCAGCCCCCGGCGGGTCTGCGTGCACACTCTACCCGCGGGATGGCTGCGTCCTGGGCTTTATTTCGGGGAGTGTCCGTTCAGGACATTTGTTCAGCGGCGAATTGGTCTTCGCCTCTGACTTTTGTCCGGTTCTACATGCTTGACGTGTCTGGACCGTGCGTGGCCAGTGCGGTCCTAGAGTCATAACTGACCTTGTGGACCTTCCCCATCGGCCGGTTCTTGTTCGATAAGCTGTCTGACAATACGGGAGCTACCATATCCCATAGCGAGACACCGAGTGAATATTATGAAAAAGAATGTTTGGTTATCTAACATAACCCCAGTTCTTAGAATAATATGAGCGAGGTGTCTCGCCAGACGACCCTTCTTGCAGGGCGGCGAGAAGAGGTTTGCTTGTTGAATTGGAGTGCCGTGATCCGCACACGCTTTAGTAGTCGGAGCTACGGGGCGTGGCGTATGACGGGCACTTCCACCGGCCAATCAGGATTGGCAGATTGAGATAGATGCTTCTATCAGGGCTGCAGGAGGCTGCATCCCATAGCGAGACACCTCGCTCATATTATTCTAAGAACTGGGGTTATGTTAGATAACCAAACGTTTCTCATTGCCATGTTGCTCTTAAAAAAAAATCTCCAGATCTACCTAGATAAAGAAACGTCACATGCATCTAATATATCTTACATTAATTACTGGTTTCTATGAGCTTGTTATCGACCGCAAAGATTTTTTTCTTGCTTTTTGGATTTAGTCTTTTTCAACGTTTAGCTGGGTAAAACTAAATGATTCTGTAGGTTTCATCTTACTTTTGCAAACAGTAAAACGGCAGGTATCTAAGCAATCTAAATATAGGTCAGGAGCAAAGTTGTTGCCACAATATTATTTTATCTGCTTTATTATTCATGCTGCATTTCCATTATTATATACAGATATTAAACGGCTAATAAATGAACCTATCAGTATCAACTGACGTCTTTCTGAATCAGCTGTGGTCCTTGATCTGTGTCTTATTAAAAATCTTGGTATGAAACGTTCATTAATTTGAGGCAGCCGTGATTAAATATTTATATTGCCTTTTATTCCCTGTTACACTAGCTTATACAGTTATTCACATGTTCTAGCTATACAAAAAAAGAATAAAAAAAACAGAATCTGTCCTCCTTTTTCTCCTTTGTTGCCTGTTGTGCTGATTTCGTCCTCTCAAGTTCTGTCCTGCTGGACAAAAAAAATGCCCTGCAGTGACAGAACTGGCTGCCATTGGCTCAGTTCTCTCAGTTCTGTTCCAAGGATATTGTTTCATTGTGTGTAGGTGGCAATTTTGGGACGATACTGAATAGTTATTTCAGTTTCGATGCAGAAATTCTTTAATATTTGGTATGAAAACCTTTCGACACCATAACATGCGTTCATTAGCACACAGATACATTTGTGTTTTGTCTAAAGTGCTTTAACTGTTTTAGTGAGCTGTTAATATAGTGCAAATTTGGCCAGGTAAAATCTCAATTTATGAGTAAATCTAGGAAATCAGCTGCCCTACTAACGAGTTCTTTAAAGAACTTATATTTCAAAGAATAAATTTTTACATCGTGCAGAAACCATTAACAATAACAAATTACATTTTTGAATGATTCTTGCAGAGATGGGTTTTAAAAAGATTTCTGCCTCATGTAAAGGATGAGTTCAAAATAATAAGCAGAGCCACCAGACAGTTTCTTCTGGCTTCAGAGCTGCAATTTCTTCCTCTAGACCTCTCCTGATGTCAATTCAGTACACAACAACAACTAGAAGCAATAAATATGAGTGAATACACATCTCAGGAGACTTAAAGGAGGGTTCGTGTTTCATCCAAAACACTGTGTGATTTTAACTGGCTTTGAGTTTATCCCTGTGTTAAATGAGAACCCATTATTGACCCATTTCTCTCTCTGCCTATCAAGTCTCTTTCTCTCTCCAGCTGAACCAGCAACATCAAAGGAGCGTGCTTCAAATCACAGGTGTTGAAGGATTAAGGCCACCGCAGGATGTGGTTTTATTCTCAGCTTCATCTTTGATGTAGTCTCTCTTTGACATGCTTGTATTTCTCATGCGTAACATTGTGTGCTAGCTCTAAGGGTCCATCTTTGAACCAAAAATTTGAACTAGTGCCTTCATTCTAGTGCAGTGACAAAATATTCATTCCGGTTTAACTTTATTACATACTGTCACCTTATAAAATATCAAGTTTTGATGCAATCTATTAGAACTTTATGTGATCGAGAAAGTAGTGAATAATAACGAAGAAGGAAGAAAACTGTTTATTTTCAAGATCTTCTACAAAAATAAACCTGGGAAGAGTTTTATTCTATTTTTATTTTGGATTAAGCCCATTTTAATCTGACACCTCTAAATAAATTAAGTCTAAAATCCATCGCTACAAGTGTCAGTAGTTATGTTATGTAATGTTACAGTGCCTATCCAAATAAAACGACAGACACCTTCTGGCAGAAGAGCTTCCCTAAGAATGTATCTAGATCTATAACAGTTTATCTAGGGGCTCCAAAAGGTCTCAATCAAGACAGGCTGAATAAAAAGGAAAAACAAAATCAATCACATCCTTCGTCCAAAATTGCAAGTTATAAGTTGTGTTTTTTAGAGGTGGCTTCAATTCAAGAAGTGTTAAACAATCTTATTTTGAAGCTCAGAGTCAGTGATGGTTCTAGACCAAATTCACCAGTGGGGCAGAGTTTTTTTTACTAAACAAAACATTAGGCAATAGTTTATCATTTAATATAGTATTAGGTGAGCAGTGGAAACAAAAAGCCACTTGAGGCTCTGAGTTGAAAAAGTGAAATTTGCATGTCATTAAGTGAAATTCAAACTTTATTTTGTTACAATAGAAAATCAGTATTTCTGTTTTGAAACTGTTCATTTCACTTTATTAAAAAGAGCCTTTACCGTAGTGGAAAAAAAATCCCTGAAATAATTATAATAATTTGATCCATCTGCTCCTGCCTCTATTTAAGCTGCTTTCTCCCAGTCCTCAGTGCCAGATTATTCTTCAGCCTTTGGTATGAGAGTTTTCTAGCAGTTATAATAGTGCTCTGCTTGCCTTATTTTGACCCGTTTCTGTCTTTGAACCTTTGAGCCTGCCTGCCCCTGTTCTGATCTGTTTGCCTGACCTGTCTTCATATTCTGTTGGATTCTACTGGGAAGTGAACCTGGATCTGCCACTGGATCGGCCACTTGACTTCTCCCTCTGGATTATCCTGCCTTCCTCTGTCATCTGCTCGGATTTGATCTCCTGTTAGTTTTCTATCCTTCGAGGCTTCGGCATCTGGAACTGTGCAGCAAGCACTGCGTCTTGTCAGCTGACCGGCTGGTATCAACCTCATTCTCTGGGCATGAACTGAACTCTAAACCAGGTTAGTGACTCACACGTTCAGATCATCCTCCGTCAGCTTGTCACTAACCTGTGCTCGTCTCGCCAGAGTTACCGCCCTAGCCGCTGCTGCTGCAGAGCCGTAAACTGTTAGTTGCTTTAATAAACACTTTTAAAGTTATTCCCCTCTCTGTCTTGCCAGAATACTGGGTCCGTCTGTTCTTAGTCATTCCAAAATGATGTCACTCTTCTTTTTTTTGGTGCAGTAACAAAAAAGATTATTGCAACAGAGTGGCCTGTCTCAAAAAGCTGAATTTTCAAAAAGAACACTAGGCTGTTTGAATTTGTTAGATATTATGCATGATGTGCTAAATTACTAAAATTTTAAGAACTAAAGGGACAGCACTTTAATTTTTTTTTAACTAAAACTCTCTATGGTCAATAAATAAGGTTGGATCAAAGTGAATCCGTGTATCATTCGTTCTTTCTATTTTCAATTGTCAATCAAAAAACAAAAAATCATAAATTGACTGGTTATTTTGTTTTTTGTTTTTTATCGTTAAACCAAAAACGAAAAAAGGATTGGTTTTTCATATTTCAATTCTAAGCTCAGATCAAGAATACGAAATGGAAAAACGGACAGCAACGCAGAATTTGATTTTAATATTTAATCGGTACAGTTTACATGACCCGGAAGTTTGGTGGAGCGTTAGCTAAAAAAACAATTGGCTTACTCCCACCACGTTCGATCAAACTGCACCAGATAAGGCAGTCGGACCTATCAGCCATGGACAGTTACGTTTTATTTCGAGGATCCAAGCGTGTGACTCTTGAGGAGGACATGACAACGGAGAAAATTTGCAGGATTTTCCAGGTATAACTTTTTTCTTGAAACTTTTCTGTGCACTGTACTTTTAACTAGCAACAACAAACAGCTTCTTGATCAACATAGTGTGTGGTTCTAGCGTCGCCATGGTAGCCACTTCATTACCCCAACTGCTGCGCAAAGAGCTATTTCCGGGTCACGTAAACTGTACCGATTAAATATTAAAAACAAATTCTGCGTTGCTGTCCGTTTTTCCATTTCGTATTCTTGATCTGAGCTTAGAATTGATATATGAAAAACAAATCCTTTTTTCGTTTTTGGTTTAACCATAAAAAACAAATAACAAAATAACCAGTCAATTTTTTATTTTTTGTTTTTTGATTGGCAATTGAAAATAGAAAGAACGAATGATACACGGATTAAAGTGAAATATAGTTTTCTATTTATAGTCTTTGGAATACAGTATAACAATAGAATAAAGATAATCTTTGGAATAATATATCAATGTACATTTGTGATTCAGAATTGGCACATATTTTTGACTTATTTTAAATGAAAATAACCAGTCTTGATCAATTCAGAACTGGAATTTCAGCAAAACTGATTAAAATCATAGTCAAAACAAAACAGCTGTGATGTTTGTGTGAGTGGATATATATATATTTTTTTTAATTTATCTGGTATGTTTTAGGGGGTAGTAGCCCCTCTTTCCCCCTGTCTAGAACCGCCCATGCTCAGAAGATGGTATGAACTCAAATATGAGCATAAGTTGTCAAATGCCCAAAAATGTTGCCTATTAACATTTATGTAACAGAATTTTCAAGTACTAATCAGAAAATTGTACATCCATCTCCCCTGCAATACAAGAGTATAGTCTTTGTCTGTTTATCTCTTCTTTTGTATCTCTAAGCAGTTTGACTCCAGGCAGTGTAACCATGATGTGATAATTAATGCAGTGATTCTCCTCCACTCTTTTCCTAGTGAAACCTTGAAAACAAAGTGAGAGGTTGGGAGGCTCACTCAAAACAGAATTGTTCAGCATATATGCTATCTCTTTAATCCTTAAAATCCTATTAGTGTGACTTTATCATATATATATATT